AGCCAGCGAGGATAAGCATCAGTAGCTGTTTTACTTTCACTTTCAGATTTTCAACAGCATTATAACACTATTTACCGCAAGGCCACGGCACTTTTAGAATTCGTTCGATCGTTCGATCAACCCAAATTTGAAGCAAGTGGCAAAATTTTAGTGGGCCTTGGAAGGCAATTGTGGAAACTTTGAAATTCAATGTAGACTTTCTGTTGCCTTGCTCAGTGCTAATTTGTCAAAAGTTATGGGTTTCCCGCTGAAGAGAAATGATAATAATAGTCAAGCTGTAATTCTATTTTGCTGTCATTGTCTTTCCTCCGGTTTAGTATGCTAATTTTTCAAAAGTTGTGGGTTTCCTGCTGAAGGGAAATGAAAATAACAGTCAAGCTGTAGCTCTATTTCGCTGTCATTGTCTTTTCTCTGGTTTAGTATAGGTAATAGAGACCATAAGATACCCCGATTGAATTCCGGTGAATTACCGCAGCCGCACACTTAACATGTGGCGTGAATATCAACTTAAGTTAGCCGAACTAAAAATTAAGAGGACTGGAAAAAAAACTTCTTGACTTTTGGTTATCATGGCGGCTTTATGGCTCGATAAAGTTCATAAAAGCAGCTGGCATAATTTTGGTTGCAAAAAGACCACAAACAAGTCTACAGCATTCGTTGCTTCCAATGACCAATCAGCTGATTTTCGATCCTTTTTGATTAGACTTAACTTGGTAAAATACAAATGAGAGAGCACAAATTGACTTACCCTTTTGCTCATTTGACTTTTTTACTTTGCTGAACGTCGTTTGCTGGTCTTCTCATCTTCCCTGTCTTCTCGGTCAGTAACCACCCTTAAGGTGCCATCTACCCCGGATGAACGGGGTAGATAAATAAAACATAATTTTGAGTGTAATTTGGAGTTAGAAAGCACGAACAAATATTTCAGACAACAAAATTCCACTCGCCCTACGAGCTCGTGCAATTTGTAGTTTGAAAAATTTACGAGTGCTTATTACATCAAATAGCAAGCTAAATTATGTTCTTACTTGTTAGTAATTTACATAAGAAAAGCGTCACAGAAAGGTAAGACAGACGAAATTATGAAAGCGTAAGCGCTATTTGTAATTTGCACTCGTCTTACAACTTTGCACTCGTTTTCAGCCAATTAGAAGCGCGTAATTTTGTCATGTCGATTATTTGTCAGATAACAACTCAAACATTTACATATAAATATACCATAGAAATTAACAAGGTGTGTTCGGTCCTTTTTGAAGATGATGCAACCTCCTTTACAAATCAGTTAAACAATCTGACAGTTTGCCCTGAACAATACAGCACCAGTCTCATTAGAAACTTACCTCCTTTATCCACTTGTCGGGTGTTAGATAGTTGGGTGGAGAAATCACTGGATGTATTGTATCATTGTATGCCCCAGCAGCTGAGCGAGAAATTTCAAATTTTTAAAACGCTTCACAGTTATTTCCGACCTTTGGCGACTTTGAATTGCAAACCAATTCTTTCTGTAAACGTTTTTAAAGTATTTTCTTGCTATCAGTCAATAGGTTACTATGGGCTTTAAAACGAGACTTGGAGGACACAAGATAAATAAAACGTTTCAAAAATTCTTCTTCAGTTATCTTTGTGTCGCTTCAGTCTCGCTGTCAAGGAGTTTTTTTATTTTGTTACATACCACACGAGTGAGTGGTGCTTTTCGTGTACGCGGATTGGCCAGTTCAAAGTGATTAACAAGTACCTCACTGAGGTAGCCTTAGGTTGGTGAGTACTCATCGTCTATCGCTTACTCGCTGTTGAAATAACGGCTGAGTTTTCATTCTATAACTTTTTTTTTATTTATGCCATCCTTGTAGGATCATTTTATGGTGACAGGACCGAGTAACTGTCAATATTTCCGAATTTTCCACAGCACACTTTACCTGCCCTAAAGTTTTGCACATAAAAATGTTGGCTTCTATTTTCTACGGAAACACTGCCATTGTCAGGAACAGGAAAATCAGCCAGAACAAACATTCATATTCTGCGCATACCTCCCGACAAGTGAGTATACTTGGAGTGGTTCGAGGAAAGGCAATGCACCCATTCTGCCGCTGTGTTGCCATAGGGGCAATAAAAATCATATCACAAGTTACGAATTCAGGGTCCGGTCCTTATTTATCACTGGGGGGGGGGGGGGGGAGATTGACCTGCAATATTCTTATGATTCCCCCTCATTTGCGACTGGCAGTCCACTTTCTTTATGCCCCCCCCCCCTTTATACTCTGCTTTATCCTCTGTTGGTGACGTCTGATTTCCCCTCCTTTCGCTCTTAAAACCACGTGATCTCCTCAAAATCCTCAAACCCCCCCTTTAAAAAAACTTCTGGTCCCTAAACAAGGCTGAGTGATCAGTGTTGAACAAAACCAATACAATTTCCTTAGATGTGATTGGTGCGTTACCTGCTTTATTATCCACTAATTATTCTGTATAGTTGTAGTCGGACACCTGTAATCGGACAGTGGAAGCAGTCAATCATACTTAGTCCTTTTAGCCAAATCCACCAATCAGAGAATTGATCACAATAATCATAGCAACCACACCTATCTTAAAAAAAAAACTGTGGAAAAAAATGTCTGTGTAAACGTATGTCAAAGGAACACATCAGTCGATATTGCTCTGTACTTTCCCTCATTGACAGGAAGGACACATCAGTACCAAAGCTTGTTGATCAGTGGCTAGTGTCTAACAGGGTCCTCCGGGTGGGGGAACGAATAAAATTACTCCACATTTCAACATCACCTCCAATGACTCGTTCAGCACAGAAACCATGAAAAATATGTTTTCTGTCATCGTGGAGAGGCAATTTAACAACAATGGCTTTGAAATGCAGATAAGAAGGTTCTCCGAGGCACAGTTTAATTGCGTAGATCGCACTGTCCATTTCAATTCTAAGATCGTCACCGTCCTACATTGCATGATTGGATTTGTTCGCTCGTTGTACGGACTGGTTGTCTGTCTGTCTGTTCTTCTCTTTATCTCTCTTTTGATTGATTTTATATGATTTTCATGTCTGTCTATTTGCCAGTCTGTCAGTATGTTTGTCCTTCCTTCTGTACGTTTAATCGCTAGATAGAAACTTGTACAGTGTATATTTCCCTAACCTTTGATCCAACCATACTTTTAGCAATATCCGTGGGAAACGGGGGCGTCATGATGAATCAGGAATTCTGGTTCTATTAGTGTTATATCCATCTCAACTCTGGAGTTTAATCATTTAAACCCTGAGAACGACCAGCATCTAATTTCTCCTCGCAACAATACTGCTAAGTTCTCCTTGTGAGCATCATAGGAATGTATCACAAGCGTATGGAGAATATAGATACTGATGTTAGGGTGTTAAGGGTTAAATGGATACCGAGCAACTGTTAGGGAAGCTAAGAAAATACTTGGGGAATGCCATTCATTTCCTTTGTCGCTTACCGCTACAGTCTTGAAAAAATGGATAAGCATAAACATTCACGGGTTACTTTCTGTCCTTTATTGTTTTTATCTTGGAATTAGCTGAAAAAAAAGGGGCTCACCTTTACTGGTCTTGGACAAATGTAAGTGGTAATACAGGGCAAACAAATCGACTCAGTAATGATGGTGCGTCAGTTGTCGTCATTTACAGCTATGTTTATGATACTTGTATTTTTTTACTTTATCAGATTATAATTAGCGCCTTTAACGAGGTGTACACCCAAGCCATTACCAGCTTCCCTCCTACACCATCTAAGTCACACTATGTTTTCAGTCTCAGAGATTTTGCTAGGGTAGTACAGGTAAAATAATTATGATGATAAATTTTCTTCCTTCATTCTCTCCAATAAACTTAAACGCCTTTAAAGAAGCGTGATCCGTGTAGGCCATGAAGAGCAATTTATAATGTAGTGTTGAAAGTAATCCGGGGTTGTTTTGGTTTCGCTTTACCTCGCTCGTGATTGGTCCAGAAAACCAATCAGATGCAAAAATTAAAACCAATCCCAACTTGGTCACTCACGTTTTGCCGCTTTGGGCAGTTTGCTCGTTTTTACTTTACAATACCTTTTGGAGTCCTCAAACAGGCAAATATTTCGTGAAACCATATCAATACCTTCACGATTTGCTGTTTCCTTCCCTTTTACTCCTTACGTCTCGCTATAGAAATTTAGGTCCACTATAACACACCGTGGAAATCATAATTTAGTCTTTTGATTTTCCTTATTTGCAAATTCTCATTAAAGGGGATTCTTCTATTTCCCGGAGTTTGTGCCACTCATCCAAGGAAGCAGATCAGATTGTGGGTTCATGAGGTCTACCGGGTGTTCTCCATTAGATTGGTTGACTCTGAGGACCGGCAATGCTTCTTTGAGATAGTTAAGGTATGGTAACATTATTTTTGTAAAATTCTTGTCTAACAAGTTGGTTATAGTCGATTATTAGCGCTGCAAGACATCGTCGTCCGCGGGAAGAGTTGTGACGAGTGTGCGAGAGGTTTGCAATTAGTGCCAGACCCCTAGCAAACCTCTCGCCGGCTTGCTTTACTCAGATTCTCGCGCGGGCTAAGAAACGCTCATGTCGCAGCGGTAAAAATGTGAGGCTTTTTGAAGGGTAGTTATATTTTACATCAGAGAGTTAACCAACCCAGGTGACTTAATCTTATATTGCGTCATGCTGAGATTTAATTTGAAGAATATGATCGAAACTCTCAGGGCTTTGAATTGTTCAATTAATTGCAATAGGTTGATGCCTGCAACTTTTTAATCGACCGGAATAGAAGCTGATTTACTGAATGTCGCAAATCATGGTAGAAAATTAAAAGCGGTTTTTAGCAGAATAATTTTGCTATGACTCTGAGACGGCCCTGGTCAGGTAGACGCCTGACACGGGATTACCAGATAGAGCAAGACACTGAAATATTTTTGAAACATAATTAATAGAGACTGAAAGTAATTTCTGTAAACTTGGTTTTTATTTGTGAACCACAGTTTGTTCTGCATTGACTATATAGACCGCAAAGCGTATCCTCGTCTGTATGATGAAATACAAGATACAGAATGACTTAGCGCGGTAAGAACTCTTGGGAAATTGGGAATTTGTAGTAAGTACGAGTACAATAAAGCCATATTAAAAAGAGCAACAAATTACACAATGTTTCCTCAACTGATATAGAGTTATGTTATATGATGAAAAATTCAATATGAGATGTTAGTTGGGTCACTGACATGTTTGAATGCGAATGGGCGTGATCAGGATTTGACCCGCTAAACACAGGACCACATGATGATGGCTTGTGGTGTTTGATAAAGACTGAGCCCACAGTTTTCGACGAATCATTGCTTAGCAACTTGCCATATCTTGCTGACAAGAGAACTTTAGAGATACTCTCTAGTACTTGAACGCTTCTTTGACTCCCACTGGAAAATACGTTATGCGCTCAAACGCCTTTTGTGAGGAAAGGTCTCGTCCAAAAAATTCAGAAATAATTGTGCCTTCATCATGTTTACTCCAAAGCCGTAATGTGTTCCATCATAGCTATGCACCCCAACAGTTAGATTGAATGTGTCAAACACTGGAACTTCAAAAGGTTCTAGAAACCGCCTCATTTCTTGGTTGTAACGAATGATTTTATCATTACCTTGGGATTCAATATACGGAATTGGTTTAATGCTGCCATGTGCGTGCGTTGTGAGCCATATAATAAGCGGCCATTGGCTTGCTGCTTGATGCTTAAGTTGAAGGATTGGTTTTAGGTAGCCATTAAACACTTTATCAGCATTCAGACCCATATGGAGTCCTACTCCAATAGCGATGACTGAGTTTGTCGCGTTAAGTTTTCCCCGAACCTTTTGCAGTGCCAACTTGGCATATTCCATGCTATAAAATTGATATAAAGAATACTCGAAGGTAGATTGTCCTTGGCAAACTTTCCCTTCAGGAAGTTGGGAAGCGTTGTGGGCAGTTTTTCCGTGACATCCCGTTTTACCTGCGTCTACGAATTGCATGTCGCCTGAACAAAAATCTCTTTGGTGTTCGTCGACGTCTTTTACAAGGCTACCATATACCTTGTCGTCTGTGAATAAAATCATCAGCGCATTATGTAAATGTCGCACCAGCGAATCACCGATTAACGACAAGCTGGAGACTCTTTCGGATAACAACTGACATGTTTTAGCACTGCTGAAGTTTTGAAACTCGCAGCCAGAAGAAGGAACGAATTCGTGTAGCTCCGCAGAAACTATATTTCTAAAATCCGTGCATGATGTGCACTGACAATCTTCTTTTGCTGATCCACACCTCGCAAGATTATGATTACAACAGGGATCCGTGCCTTCAGGGTCACACAGAGAAGGAACTGGGATGCCGAAATTTGGTGCCTTTAATGGGAAATTCTTTCCGCACTTCTTATCCTCTCTGTGTAATATTTCCGGCAACCCTCTGAGTTTTCTAATCCTTATGTCCTGCTCTCGTCTGTGGAGCACATCTGTGGGCTGTAGATTCGAACGTTTTCGCCACATTCCATTTCTCATTTGTCTCGTAACATCAACACACCGTTTACGGTTGTAAGTGCTCAGTCTTTTGACGAACGAGTCAGTAAGTTCAAGTCGTCTTTGTGAAAACGTTTCGAGTACAATAAAAATGAGCAAAATAAAGAACAGCGCTTTGCAAACTCTCCAGTTCATAAGATTCAATAGATGATTTTTAAGCTGAAATCCAGACACTGCAAATAAGAAACAAGAGCTCTGTTTAAAACAATGTGTTGTAGAACTGTGTCTGTCATTAACCTACACGGCTTTCCCGTTGTTTGATGTTCAAATTTATTTATTTATTTAAGTGATGCCGGGTTCAAAATGCTTGTAACAGGTGCCGTGGTCCCACCCGAGAGTAAACTGGTTCTACCTGTGTTCTTAAGATTGTGTGCTAACAACTTCTAATTAGCCGAGCGCGGGGGCTGTACAGGGGAATTTCGGCCTGAGGTCGTTTTGAATTTGCCAGCTTTCGAGAATCAAAATACACGGCTCATGACCGTTTCCGTTGAGACAGAAGGTATGGCAAATTTCCGACCAGACAAGAAACAATGAGAACGCTCGGTTTTACCTCAACACAACCTTGCCTTAAAATATTGGCTCATATATAATATTTTCAGTAAAGAGCAAGGCTTAGTGGTAACCTCTTCCGCGTAAACTTAATTGAAATAAGCGAACACCTTTTGCGTGTCGTTTTACTTGTTCTGCTTGGTTTTTCTTCTCTTTTGAAAAGTTCCTACGAAACAAAGCAGTTCAGAGAAGACGAGTTGGTTGTTTCACAATATTTCTCCAGTGAAGTTTGGCCATAAGCCTCGATCTTCTGTACTTGACCACGTTCTCCTTCTTTGCTTATCAGATGTGGTCCATTATAATATTAATACAGTTAATTAGCGAGTTGCTTTCAGGGCCAAGTTTTATTCCAATCTTTGATGTGCTTCACTGCACCACACGCTGACAGTAATGACATACAGGTTCTCGTGCTTTCAAAGCACTCTCTCTTTGTTGTGTGCCTGTTAGCGTGAGATTCTACTTAAATTTACTGAAGAATTAAAGGTATATTACTTTCGGCTCAAAGGAAACACAGCTTGTCACCGGAAATTCCTTTCAATAAGTTTTTTGCTTGAATTGTGCTCTATTGCAAAACGTCGCTTGGGGAATTGAAATAAAAATATGTTTTGTGATTTTAGGATCCTGTAACCAAATGGTAATTTTTCAATTACTGTACCTGGAATTTAACCGACCGCTCACCTGTTGCCAACAAAATTGAATTTATAGGCCGAGAGTATCGCGCTTTTTTGGCAAACGCAGGCTCATACTGAATTTTCTCTTTTTTACCCGCTTCTTTTCGAATTATTGAACAACTTTGACAAAAAATTAGGAAATATCCTAACCTAAGTGCGATTCTAAAAAGAAAATCCGAAAGGGGAGAGCCATGAGGTTAGTTCGCAAAATAACCCAGTTCTTAACACTTCAGCTTAAATATTCGGCAGTAAATTGTAATTATAAACTTTTATAACGATCCCACGAAGATCATAATAGAAAATGAATGTATGAGCATTAGTACTTGCCGTATCGGTGTTGTTTCTTAAACCGTATCGGTGTAGCATCCATAGTTGATCACAGGCAGCTTTGCGTTTTAGGTAGCAATTAATTTGCACTTTCTGTTTTCAACGAAGTAGTGATGTTTGGGTCAACGTTCCAGGCAACCTTTCTCATCTTAAAAAAAAAACATATCATTCTGCTGAAACAAGTTTCAAAATAACTATTCAGTGGTGCGCTGTGCATCTTGTACCGCGCATGACGTCTCCCTTAACACCCTTCCAACAACGTGGCGGTTTTTTGTCTTTTACTCAACCAATGGACGAGGCTAACAGGTGCGATGATCTTTTTCTCTTTAACAAACAAAAAACTGAAAGCGAATGATCGGAAAGCAAAAACAAGGGTGTACAAAGCCGTTAGTTAAATTATAATTTCGCAAACATCGATTTGAGGAACCTTTTGAATCGATATTGTTTGAAAATTGCACAGTTTTTTTGGAAAGTTATATATTGAACATGGTCGAGGCTTACTTCTTATCTGGTGTTTTACTTTTTTTTTGCTTTACTTTCAAAAACCCTTGTTTGCCGGTAGCGCTACTGATTTGCACTTGCATAAGTATATTAAGGTCCATCAGGTCTCTTGGGAAAGATCGGTGACCTATCTTTGAATTGCCTCTTTCGAAGCTGTGATCGTTGAGAATATACTACGCAACTATCAAAATATCGGCGTGTATCATTTCTTATATCAGTGAATAGTGTGTATGTATTTGTAAAACTAGAATCATTGTAAATTTAAAAGTTATCATGGTACTTCTCGCTAATAAATGGAATTTTGAATGGTTCCCGTACAAGTGGACATGATTATAAATTTGTGGTTTGATTTGAAAACAATCCTGGGAAGAACATGAGTAGGATATCACTGTATGAGCTGAGTACTTATCACATCAGTGTCCTTTGTTCGGCATGAAACATTTGAATTTCGGTTCAGTTTTTCGAAATTTGTCAAGTTGCGTTTTGCGACACCATACTGTATGTAAATGAGTAAAAAAGTCTCAGAAGATGATTATTAAATACCCCTTTGGGACATAGTTTGAAGCTACACTGGTTTGCAGATTTAATGAATGTAACCGAAGCGTGGGCGGAGTTAATGTGCCAAGCCTCCAAACAAAGGCGCTGGTGGTAACGCCGATTAGTGGTGATAATTTTAGAATTATCCCACCCAATTGTATGGTTGGTTAGGCAAGTATGCTCCGATAAAGCTGAATTTTCCTTTTTGCATAGAAAAACCGCTTTTTGGTGCTCTTTAACCGTGTACCAAACTGGCGTTTGGTCTGTCCGATGTATTCGTTGTCACAGTCATTGCAAGGAATAGAATAAATGGCGTCGGTTCGTTGTTCTTTCGTGACAGGATCCTTAGGTTTGGCGGAAATATGCCCCATATTCATATATGCCGCCCACGCTCCTTTAAATCGTGACGATGGCGGTCTGCTTCCTGACGCCTATTTACACCTCGTCAGAAAAAAAAAGGCCGCTAATTAGTGATCATGTAAAAAGGACCTCTTGTTGCAGCGTTTAGATCACCCCTGATGAAGGCACTAGACAGGAGTGTCGAAACGTTGGGTCTATCGGTTACATTCATTAAATCTGCAAACCAGTGTAGCTTCAAACTATGTCTGATTGTCCACCTGGTTGCCGTGTGAACTTTAATATATTTTAAATACCCCTTTGTTTAAATAAATATCCATTTTTTACTCGCGTACAAGCGTCGCACATTTTGCCATTTATCTGATCGATAAATGTCACTATCAGTCTGTTACTATGCAAACTTTAGTTTTTCTTGATCCCGAAATGCGTTAGGCTTTGCCTGATGTCGTCAGTTGAAAGTTTACTTATGTGTGGCAATTAATTGGATTGACCGGGCAGTCTTTCTTTGTGCTTTTGAGGTAGTCACTACAGTTTGTCCTGTTGATGAGGTGGAGTCCCTGTGTACCTATCCATCAATTTTCTATTTTTAAGGAGTGAAGACTGAGAAGAAGATGGTAGACGGCAAACAAGTAGATGACTATTGGGCGGCTTCCAAGAAGATTTGATTGGTCGGTTTATATGTTGATAAAGGGGTTAAGGTCCAGTTCAGACGCCGTACTTCAGCCGAGCCGAATCAAATACAACGAATTAAGTTCATGTGAAGTACGGCGTCTGAATCAACTCGGAAAGGCTGATTTAATTTAGATCGGCTTAATCAATTAATTCCGCCTGGCTCAGCCGAGAAGAACGGCTGTAGAGCGGCTTTGATTCAGACGCCATACTTCAACTGAACCGAACCAAATGCACACATTATTTTAATGTTTTTATTTTTTACTCAAGAGCATGCGCATAGCAGTGTTTTGCAGGAGGAAAATGGCGGCTTGGCGGGCCAAACTGCACGATGGTGACATTTGTTGTTCGTGTTTCTGCACGACCAAATATACTTGCTTGAAATGTAGAATCCCAATTTGTAATAAATGTTCAATTTTTGAAGAAGACGAAGATTACCATGGATGGGTCGCTGGAAAAAGCGTCGCCTTTAAGACAGTTTGCATTCTTCTTCTTTCAGCACTGTTTCCCATCATTTTGAGCAGAAGAAAGGCTCTTGCTCGCAGATTGCTGCCGGAATCCATGTCGTCCGCCATGTTTACAATTGTATGCTAAACCAATGACCGAATTTTAATTTTCTTCGATTAGTTAATTTCGACCGAGTAAAGTTCGGTGTTTGAATCAATTCAGCCTGGATTAACTAATTTAGGTTGGCCTATCGTTGAATTTGATTCGGCGCGGCTGAAGTACGCCGTCTGAACCGGGCCCAAAAAAACCCTTGGGGTGGTCCTAACAAAATTTCAATTATTCTGCACTATTCACAAGCAGGATTTCTCTGGGTATTATAGGGTCTCAAAGGAATGATAGCTTTGCTTTTACGATCACAATTTGTTTGTTTATGGGTCAATTAGCATGGGCGACCCATTAAAGCATTTGCTTATATAAAGAAAACAACAATAGTTATATCACCTAGTAAAAAACCAGTGCGATCCACGAACAACACAAAATGACAATATTATAAAGAACTCACAGTAATTTATATTTCTTTACAAGGTGTCGGGTAAATCAGTGAGATCAATATAGATCGATATGTAACAAAAAGAAGTGTTGCTTGAAATTAGGAGATCCTCGCAGCAGGATTCATTCGTTGTTGCTTTTTAATATTCTTCTTCACATATCGTTTCCAAATTTCACATGATCGTGTAAATCCGACAGAAGGTGGAATATTTTCACAAAAATCACAAGACATTCAGCATGAAATTTCTTTGGAACGAGTACATCAGTTTTTCCTACCCTTAGTGTGATTTGTATAATGTTCAGTTGTGTTTCGAATCATTTATTGTCGATATTGATCAACTGCATTGAAGTCGTTCGTGGTCTCAGCGGATGAGCCTGCGGATCAGTGGACGCGAAAGCATGCACTTGAGTTCAAATTACCCATTCGACATGAGTGACACAACTCGTACTATGAGGCACATCCAGACTAGCTTTGGCGGAGATCATCGCATTTATCTAGTTAGTAACTCAGCAAGTCCCTCAGGCAACGACGATTTCGGGAAGGTATGCGGTAGAGCAATTAAATGCGAAAAGTAATTGCGCTCGCACCTAGAATGCAACGAAACCATAAACGTGCGTAAATGTTTTGTTACATGGCTCAGTGACGTAATGAGTAGACAAATAAATAGACTAAGGCTCTTGAGAAATGTTTTTAAATATTCATGTACGTGACTCGCCTGTGCAAACATCGGACAGTCAACAACGCTTAGTTTAGTCCACTCGCAGTTTTCATTCGTCTCACAAGGAGTAAATCTTTGGTTTTTGAGGTAGGATCAGTTTCCTATTGTACGCTTTTAGTTTCGTGAAGTGTAAGAAACAAGATATTCCTTAGTGCAAATATAGTAATGAAATTATGATGTATTGACAACGCCGAAAAACCTAGGCCGATTTTACAGTTGAAACTGGACATAACTGAAAGGTTTTGGGCTTATATTCTTTTTAATATCAAGCCCACTGATGATATCACGGCATTTCACCTCTAGCTTTGCGAAAGCTCTCGTGAATTGGTCGAAGTCCATGATCGCGTGGAGGTCACGTTTTTGTATGACCTCAACAATTTTGGGGAGAAGCAACGTCTTTAAGTTG